CGTAACCTTGTTTTACGGCAGGTCGCGTTATTTTCGGCCACTCTAGATGTATCAAGGTACACAACTACGTGCGCATACATATGTACGATATATCCTTACACGCGACAAACGCGCGCTTCTCGCTTGATTCCATTATGCAAAAATATGATAATTCCAGGGGACGATAGAGCCGCCTAGATAAATGTCCTGCCAGCCCCCTGATCAATCCTCGAGCTCTCGTATCATAACCCCCGATCCTCTCTTTCTGCAGCAATGTATCGCAATGTAATATATTTCTTACGCTTTATCATCTCTAAGCCAAACATCAGCATATTCTCGTATACTACAATAAATATTTTATTGAATGTTAATTCATACCACTTTTTAAAAGTATCCTTTCATATATTTTACACATATATATAACATGAAACATAAAATTTCGTATCATAAAACGTTAATATATGTTTTCGTAGCTTGTCAAAAGAGTGAAAATTGAAGAGTGATTTCTCTCAGAAAATTAATTTTCACACAATGCATTTTTTAAACTAATTTAAGTCCATATTTGTTTTCAATATTAAGATCCAATTACCAAGTTGGGAGTAAAAGTGCAAAACACTTTTGAATGCTTCTGAAAAGTTTATGAAGGCGGATCGTTATAAGCTTTGAAAGACTCTACGGACAAACAAGCTATTTTTGTTTTATAATACCTATCTAAGCAAAACATATCAATGCAATATTAATTATTTTTACGTTATATTTTATTTATCCAGAAACGATAATATTAAAAATTATTAAAATCTTTACTTTTATTTATCTTTATTAATTCTTGTTATATTTTTCATCTGAAAAAGAACAGAATTAATGTGACGCAAATATCCATTTTATTTTAATGTTCAAATTATTTTCAACAATTTGTTCGCTGCCTTGTCTAATTAATGTTAATTACTGTGCACATGTTACCTAATTTTATTACAAGCGAGTTTTGGCGTAGATTAGACAATCTCCATCTACGACACTAAACACGCTAATGCAAGATATCTCAGAGACACGACGACTATGTTTACAAAACGCATGGATGAGCCATGCTTACGAGGGGGGGGGAGGAAAGGGGGTTGTTTTGCGCTGTTGTTGCAGCTGCTCTCGCACATACGAACGTTAGAAGCTGTTGCGACCTTTTAACTTAATGACGGACAATAAGGCTAGGTAAAGGATGGCAACGGTGACGACAGACGAGCCTCGGGGTTGCTCTGTTTGCTAAACCTCCGAGAGAGGCATAGACAATTAATTACCTTAGCAATTAAATACCTGCCAAGCCTGACGAGCAATTATTTCTCCAAACGCCAACGTGACGCCTAATATATGGTGTATGCTGGAGAAGCGATGAAAATCAGTAAACATTGTGTCCCTTGATGAAATTGAAGCAGACCGCTAGCCTAAATTTCTTTAAAAGTATATCTAGATTTGAAAAAAAAAGCAATCTTCAAGCCAAGATTATATTTCAGGCATTTAAAAGCTTTACTTTGTTTATTAATTTGCGCTTTAAACGTTACTTTAACCGCATATTGTTGCCATTTAATTTTGATGATTGAGGCTCGTGCTGATTTAAATTGTTAAATAGTAAATGGTAGTGACGGTTAGGTTGAGAATTACGTTGAAAATCCGCGCCGCGCTAATGGAATTTCTAATTAGATAATTTAATACGTTGCGCCGTGCTTCCTGAATCTTTGTATGCATTAAATATTAAACGTATGTAGAAACTATAATTATAAATTAAACATCTCTGAAATGCAACTCTTAGGTAGACAAATTAAATATTCATTGCTAAAATGCTACAACTAACTCGACTTCACCTAGCAAATCTACATTTTAAACTCCCACGTTTAAATTATATTACAGCATAACTATTAAAAATCAAAATTAAATTATCTTGCTATCTAAATCTAAAATTTACATTTATATTAAGGTTTACTCATTATCACAAAAATTAAATTACAAACTCGTTTTTGAAATTATTAAAACAAATTTGTTAACACGTGAAAAATAATGTTTAAAAATTAATTACATCAGTATTAAATTTTAGAATAATAACAGTGACTACAAAATTTGAAATTGTTTATACAATATAATAATTAAACTTTGAATCATCCTCGCAATTAATTTAGTTAATTAAAAGGATTATCCAGATTTTATTATTATATTTCTCAATGTTATCTCAATATATTGCTTTTATGTACATTAAATCTATTTTTTATTTATAAAAATCTCATTATTTATGTCAATATAGAAGCTTTACATCTTAACGATACAATAATCAATATTGCCACTGTTTTTATTTGTAATCAATTAATTAATGTTAAAGGATTTTAAATTTATATATATATATATTTTTTTAATTATTGTAACGTTTCAAAGTGCCGCATTCTTAGTTGCTAAAGTACCTCGTCTAGGAATAACATTACGATAGTTGCAGATCTTTATTCCGAAGGTTAAACCGATCCTTCGGCAGCGTTCCGATACTTTAATCCTTAAATGGAAAAAGGATTTTTCATCGAACTTTTAAAGTAACGGTGGCATTGTATTGCCGGGATCTCTCTTCGGTAAACTTTTATAATCACAAATAGGATTACCTTACGCTGCTTTTGATAAGTTCTCCTTTAAATACCGTGTATACGGCCTCCGGCGACAAAAGCGTTTGCATTTGCGACTAGACTCTCGTTTCTCGGATCGATTCTGACATGGAATTTTTCTTTCAAATTTTCTTAGCTGTAGTACGTTATTTCTTTTTTAGAATTTCTTTTTTACTCTTTGTATCCTTTTTTACGATATATTATCAAATAATTTACTTAACATTGATCGAATAAATTGAAAGAGATTTTACTACTATTCATATTGCATCATTTTAATTTCAATGCTAAAATCTACAATTTGCAAATTCTGTAATTAAATTATGTTATTAATCGAAATATTTATGTGTATAATGTGTTCCATTACAAATTTATCAATTATATTTTAGATTTGTATCTCTTTCGCGATACTTCAACCTGTATTGAATGTCACTTTTACACCCATCGGGACGTGCGACATCCGCGAATTATCATTATAATACCAAACAAATCCGTACTTGAGCGTACTCTAATAAATTGGCATCGAACACGGATTGATATAAATTACAATGGGAGAGAAGAGAAAAACGGATGCGGCCGATTGTGAGAGAATGAAAATTGTATCGTAATAAGCGCGTTGTAAGCCCCCGTTCTAATTTCGCCAAAGTCTGTTTCGGGCTAATCCGTCGTATTGTCCGCCAGTCCCGGGCATGGAAGAACAATACCACCGTGAATGGTAATTGCCCGGATGAAACCGAATTTCCGGCGAGCGAGCTTCGCCGAAGTTTTCGCGTCTCGATTCGCCCGGTGCGAGGCTGGATGCTTTCCGAGGAGAGACGTAATCGATTGCTTTGAGAAGACAAATTTATGTATGGTATTTATCTCTCTCCGAAACAAAATAAATTTTTACGTCGTCGGAAACAGCTGAACGCGAATCTATTAGCGAAATTAAATTTAATGAAAATGCTACATATGTTACCTAAAAGCACGCCTCTTTTCGGATTATAAAAAGATAATTCAGAAAACTCATCAATATTCGAGCTAATATATTGTTAAAAGCATATACTTTTAAATTTCCTTAATAAAGGAGCAAAAATTTGATAATAAATTATCAAAAGAAGATTTTGTTATGGTTAACTCGAGGAAAACTTTATTAATAAATAAGAAACCAAGGCTGATATAAGGGATAAATAAACAAAGTTGGGAATTACTAATTAAAGATTATCTCCTGGATTATCTACAATTTCAAAGTGCAAAATCTACTAAAATTAAAACTTCCTATCATTTTAATTACCAAAATAGATTCATCAACTTAAAATTCAAAATTTTTGCATATTTAAATTTAGAAATTTAGTAAAAACATAAAATATTGAAATAGATGTACATATTTTTATTTAATTATTAAAGTCGTATTCCGAGATCTACCCTACTTGTATACATAACGTGAGCTATGGATTCTTAGTACTGGCAGTGTATATCGGCCCAAAATAATTGAAATGGAAATTTCACGCTCTTATTCCACACTGTTCTTTGTCATCCCAAAAACTTTTTACATATCCTTTTTGTCTTTTCATTTTGAATGCTTTCGTTACTTAGAGATCTGGAATCGATATGTGATCCCGAGTCCGTTCGCATTTCCTCTAACCCTTACCGAGCTCCATTACGCTTTTCGGCCGACGAGACGAGATTTCGTCTCGTTAACGAGTGCCGATTTTTCTCAATTATGCACTACAAAGTACCCATCCTTTCTTCATTAACGCAGTCTTGATTTCAGGTATATATAGGAAAAGTCGAGAATTTTATATTGATCCTACAATGCAATGAATCAACGACGCTGCAAAATGCGGATCATTTTTCACTGTCATTGGCACTGATGAAAATTTAAATAAATTTTGAGATGTAATCAAAATCAATTTAAACGACATTAAAATCATCAAAATTAATATAAATGACACTGAAATTATAATTTTTAATTTAAAATTCAATAAATTGTAATTTAATTTGATACTAATTGTAAGGTTAAAATGTTTTATGAAAATTAATTTGGTTAAAGTTATAAATTTACAATTAACCACAATTAAATTAAATAAAAGTGAAATTGTAAGTTGTCCGTAATAATAAATATAAATCTCGTAATTGCAATGACAATTATATAAAACTGATGGATTATTATGGGTTATTCCAAATAACGTCTGCCGATAGTGAATCGGGGATCGAACAGCATATCACTCGCGATATTTTCTTGCTCGCCAAATATCTCTCCGTGCTCGAGCAAAAACGTATCCAGCTCCGATATCGATTCTGCGATAATTTCACGCTTCGAACGATTATAGCGCGACAGCTGCAGAATGTCGCATATCGAGACACGGTCGACCTGAATGTAGATATCGGTCGAGGTTCGATATTTATAACGGGAGGGGTTAATATCGATGTCATTTCGAAGAGGCCGATTTACAGCGTGAAGAATCTAAAGCCGATTTAGAGGAATTAGCTGTTCCAGCAAATCTTCACAGAGGGAATTTCGAGCCCCTGTTGTCCCATTCGCATAATATGTGGAAATGCACTCCATAATTCAGTGATACGAAGTAAAATTTCACGAGCAGAAATAAAAGAGATATTAGAGATATTCGGTGTGAACATAGACATTTTGCTTTATTTTAGCAAAATATTTTATATTTACATTTTTATATAATTAATTTTTTATTATATTTTCATATATTTCTATTTTTTGAATATTTTATCTATTTTCTCATTTTATCTTATTGTTAATTACGTTATTTATGTGGGAATTTAGTGTTATAATTATATCTACTTTAAAATATCTGCTCCTGAGAATTTGTAATTCTGTATTTTTCTGCTTTATAAATCGTGGAAAATCTTAGAATCACGTACTTTATCTCGCAGAAGTGATTCTACGCGACCTCAATCCTTTTATATTCACAGATCCTTAGATCCTTTAATCCTTTGCTTCACATGCTTGCCACGTCAATATTATCATTCACAAATCCGCATAGATCCTTTGATATCCTGCGACCACTGATTTCCCCAGTCAGTTCTCAGAATTGATTCTTACCTACCAAAAATCTTTGAACGATCAAAGCTCGAAATTTACAGATCATTGAATCCGTTGGATCATGGATTTTTGAATTTATTACATTCGGAAGCAACCATCAGCGCAGAAAATAGCGAGGCAAGAAAGAAAAAACAGGGGAAAAATAACGTACTGTTGCGCTTTTGCAGAAAGCATTACGTACGACGCTTTCGACGGAGCTTAATCCTTTTGAATAAAGAAAGGCACGACGTCGCTACTACGCGAATGGCTTTCAAATCCTTTCATGTTCTCCAAGGACGCTCGCGCTTTCGACTTGCATACTGCATCTATATGCATTGCGTAGCCAATGTTGCATAGTGCTGTGGAAAAAGTGCTGTGTTAGAAATGATGGTGAAATCTTGTCAAGTGTATATTTGAATCATTAAATTCCAGGATATTTAAATTCAAACATTTTAATAACGCTTTTTGACTCATAAATTCTATCACCCGTAACACGTTGTATTTATAGACTCTTTCTGGAGTCTGCAAGCACATTATTCGAACGCATTCGATCGATCCTTTTCCTAACAATTATGTCCGACTTGCATTAATTAATGGCGAATAGAGAAAAAATTTTATAGCACGCAACACCTTATACGTGGAACGGAAAGACTGGCTGCTTGTAAACGGCAATCGGAAAGTTTAAACGACGTTTCGAGCAGCGGAAGTTTCCACGACGGAGGAGCGTATCTTCCGGCTTTACTTTCCAACTTCGATAATTTCATATCTCGTGAGAAAACGCCGCATTACGGAAGTGGAGGCAGAAAATCTCGAGTTAATCCGATCGTCGAGTTAGGAAGCCTAGGAGTCAAACGTCAAAACGTGCCTTCGGGAAGGTTCGAAATTTTTTATTTTAATGACTCGGGCTGCGAAAGAGAGCAATTCTCAAGCTCAAGAAAATCAAATAATCAATGAGATTCGAAAATTAATAATGAGGAACATGAAAATTTGCAGATTATACGACATTATAATAATTAATCTGGTTATTTTTGATGTTTTGAAGACAATTTTATGCGATAATTTGTATGTCGTGCATGACACATTTCTTCTGAAAATGCGGCCACTACACATCACGTATGTATATTCGTCATACCGAGAATATTCACGAGAATATGTCGAATTAACCGAAGAATTGTGTCATTAATGCAGTAATGCAGTAATGGCGCTCTATACGTATACTATGTAAAGATATACTATGTAAAAATGTTTAAATATAATATAATAACATAAACAATACTTGCATTATAATATAATATATAATAACAACCTAATGTGATAAAAGATAATTCGGAAAATAATGTTGCGGCAGCATAGAGAAAATTATATTTTGTAAGAAACTTTTATTAAAAATAGAAAGGTCCGAAAGGTACAAAAGGAGGGCACGAAAATTCTGGAAAAACTCGCATATAAATTGCGGTTGTTGCGCTTGTTCTCATTAAGCACGGCATATAGTTGATTACGCGCGAAGAGCTGGAAGAGAAGACGTCTCTCCTCTCCGAGCGTAGTTGAGCGTGGCTGATGTTCACTTCAGTAAGGACTTAATTTGCAAAGTATCCTGGCGAAATCTTAGCCAGGCGGCGGCGGCGGCCTCGAAAGCCAAATGAGGGCAATCTCGGTGGAGGGGGAGAAAGGTGACGCGAAGGTTCCGCGCGGCCGTCTAATTTGTATAAAATTTGCTTCTCTTCTCGTCACCCTTCCACCCTCTCCCTTTTCTCTCCCTCTGTGCAACTGCAGGCGAACTTAATTTAAGTTGAAAAGTCAACCTCGTACCCGTCGACCGCACTTCAAACAGAATCCGCGTTTGCCAACCACCGGATGGTCCTTCATCGCATACAAGGTGATTCTGTCCAGTTCCCTCTCCCCCACCTCCCCTTTTTCTAAAGATCAAGCCTGTGAAATTTTAACAAAATCGAACTTTTGTTGAACCTTCCATAATTGATGAAACACTAAATGATAAAAATAACACAAAATTAAATAAATATAAAATGTATCAAGATGTTACATATTTCTTTTCTTGAAACCTAAAATTTTCAATTTTTTTTAATTCAATACTATTTCAAATCTATTTGCAAAACTGATGTAATCGTATTCTTCACTTTTTATTATTTTAATTATTTTTATGCTAACATCAAGATGACTCTAATTGGCAATTCTCGGAATTTTAATGAAATCCAATTCCAATCCAATTTCTTCCTTTGTTAAGATACAAAATAACGGGAGCCATTCTCACGGCTGTACTGCAGGCAGAACAGGTGTCTTCTACCTGCAGGATTAAGAATACTACTTGGCGCCAGAGATAATCGGAAGTAGACCCGGAGGTAAAATAACTAGATACTATAAGCTCGGTAGTCGACTGCGACAGATAATGAAACCGCCTTCTACATCTAGCAAGGTTTCGTAAAGTTCATTGCCGTTGAAGGTATTTACCGCAAGTGAGCGAGGTATAAACGTTTCTGGAAGCGCAGCAGAGCGGAAGATGGCCGTCGACTAGAGGCGAAAGCATTCGCCGCGGTAACGAGGTCAAACATCTTAATTAAGACATAATTATCGAGTGTCTGCCGCGCTACAGGATTGACAGTAACGAGGACAAAAGTCGGCCAGTCACTAGCTAGCCAACCGGGGCCCAAGGATTCGACAGATCCCCCAAGGATACAAGAAACTGGAACTTCTCGAGGTGACAACACGGACGTTTGAGAATTCTCGAATGTTATCTTAAACTAAGTCGCCAAACTTTATGCTCTACTTTATCGTTCTCGTCTGCTATTATTGTTATTTTCACTTAAAAATATTAAATGTCGCCCCCAAAAATTGAAGGATCCAAACATTTCTTGTGTCAAACGCGTTTCTCGCAAAACAGAAAGAGAGCTTTCAATTTTGGAAATAAAGAAATTTGAGACATGTTAAAAGTTTGAAAGCAAAATATTTGAGAGACTAAGAGTTTTAAGAGCTTAAGCGTTTTAAGGTCTGAAAGACAAAGGATTTTGGAGCTTAATGGATGAAAAATTCAGGGATTCGGAAGAAACGAAAAGTTCAAGGATATAAAGCAAACCTCGATTAATCTAGCAAACGATTATTCCCCTCGCTTGCCTGTATCCATTTTGCTTTGTTACGACGCCATTATTTCCTGCTACTATCTTGTTGTTTCATAAGATTAGATGCTATCCATTTTAGTTAGGCTGACGGGGCAATATGCCGTCAAATATCTTGGCCTATTCTTAACAAGTGCTATTCCTCTTTCCTTATACCGCATTTTTTCCTATTCTAGTATTCTTTTAAAAACTAAAAAACCTAAATATTTAAACAAATTTAATAAAAAGAACGATAGTCCTCTCATTCTCAAAAATTTTATGTTTGTTTATATGTTTGTTATTCATTTATTAATTTTTTCATTTTCTATTTTTTCTTAGTTAACAGCTAATTCATCTATATTATATTTATTATATAAGTTGTACATTATCAAGCTTCATAGAATTTCAGAAACTTACATTTTATTAGATTGGAACAAATTTATCCGCTCCGTGTCATCATAAAAATTGTATAAGGTTGCACGCTTATAGGAGGAGAAGCGCGGCGCGCGGTAAAAGGATACTTAAAATTGAAGCATTATAGCTTCATCTGATTACTATGGTCCAATCTTGTTGGCATTAAATCTTTGAAAGCGAGTGCCTTATTAGATGTATTGAGGTGCTACACGTAAAAGAGTAATCTCCCGCCGATGATCCCGAAGCCACTAAAGCGAGTGCTCGTTAATTATACGTCGTTACGAGCGTACATACGCAATGAGATACCACCTTTCCGGGGTTAATGAGAATAAAGCATAATTAATGCAACCGGCTCCGCCGGTGTATCATCCAATGTTACAAAAGCACGCCGCGATGACGTTACAAATTTATGAAGCGCACGTAGATTTTTAAATTTGTCTTCTTGTTTCCGCCTGCATATGTTTAATGCATAAACATGTACACAACGTGGTCTGATTAAAATACTAGAGGAACAAATAGCATTGTTAAGGATTGATAAGAGTAACGCTGTTTCCAGCATTTCAAATTATTTAAACAAACATGCAGCTATATACATTCATCGGTATATATTTGTGAAATAATAATTTCGAGTTAAATAATTCTATATTATACCTTTGAATTCTGCATTCTCTTAATTGCTCGGATACAAAGAAGTGTCCGCGTGAAAGGAGACGATTACCTCTCATCCCGAAGAGTTGGGTAATGACAGGAAAATTTTCGAGGTGCAGCGGAATAAATCGTTAACGAAAGAATAAAGGCGTCAATGCAAATGGCGGATGCGGGTAGCAAGGGTCGATATTTCACGTTTTAAGGCGCGACGTTTACGATCCCACTGCAACCCATCCCTACGTTTTACAATTGTCTCCGGCGTGTGATGTCATTAAAACTGCACTCGCCACGGACTATTAATGTTTGCCATTACCGTAATAACGGGGTGCGTTTTTTATGAGGTATTAATGATCCTTTCTCCCATGAGAAATACCGTTTCTCTCGAGTTTTGTTCTCCCCCACACACATTGCCGACCGCTCATTTCGAATGATCCTCTGCCAAAGCTTCAGAAACTTTCTTCTCGCTTTGCTACCTCACTATCGCGTGTCGGTTTGCTACTTAATCGTAACATGAATTTATGAGAGAAGTTCATAACTGGGGAGACCGAATATATATATATATATATATATATATATATATATATATAAAATCATTGATGAAACAATCATGCGTTGCGTGTGTCTTGTTTCTATTTAATTTAACAACTTCCGTTCCGTATAAAGGCCGTCATTTTTATCGAATCACAAGTATTCAGTATTTCCACCAATGGAAGCAAGTACATCAGCGAGCTTTGTTTAATAAAATCCTAGCTTTTTTTATCCTACAGTTGCGGCAACACAATTCTCAATTCTGGGATCTACGGATTACGGGATTTATGCGCGGGATCGCTAGGTAAGCGTCGTCGCGCGGAAGGAAGTCGTGCTTGGCGAAGGACGCGCGATTGCCTCCGCGAAAGTGCAATTTGGAACGGCGTCGTCGTTCCTCTTCGAGATTTAGAGGCTCGTTGCCAAATGTCAGAGCAGCGAGTACCACCCAGTAATTAAGTTTACTTCCAAGAAATGCGTCCGCTACTTCCCCCCTCCCTCCCCCGTGCTTGGATACCAACCCTGATTCCCGACTCGCCATCTTCACCTTCTCCACCCTTCCGTTGCTAGATTGTGCCCACTCTTGTAGAACAAGTCCTCTAACGATGGGCTGCGACGAGAACAGAGAGAGAGAAAGAGAGAGAGAGAGAGAGACTTTGTTGCCCTCGAAACCTACTGTAGGAACCTGCGAAGCTGAAGGTCCTTGTATTTGTCCGCCCCGGGGCAATCCTCTATTTTTATCGCTCGACTGAAAAATGTCGAATCAACCTGAACTCACAATCAGTTAAGGTACGTGTAACGTTCGATGTATTAAGCTTAAAATGTAAAATTAACAACAAGCTTGCAGCTCACGACATTTTTGCATTGTCTCGATTATTCTAATCTCGTCACGATGTGCATTAATGCGTTCCGAAGCGGTTTATCTATATCTTCGGGTCACGGAGTGGATATGTAGCGTAGCGCTTCGATCCGCGCTTCTTAAGGCTTGCAGGGCCTTAAGCCGGGGCTTAACACGTCACCCGGAATTTGATCGGCCCCTCGTTATCCCTCGCTAGTCAGCCTGGACCCCGTAACACGGCATCCTGATAATCCTTGCTCGGTTAACCGAAATCTCTTCTAAGCCTAAGCAGCAACGGCCGGCATTGCGATGCTGGGAATTTACAGAGGGAGGCCGAAACTTCATTCCTACGTGTAATCTCTTCTGTATTTTAGATCCGTTTATTGAATATCATAGATTTACGAAAAATGGCGCACGAGTGAAAAAAATATAAATTTCAATTTAATTAAATCTAACTTATATTAAGAAGAAATTGAATTAATTAAAAAGAATTGAATTAAATTAATATACAATTTCAAAAAAAAGTACATATTGATTTAATTTAACTCTCTCCTAACAAAAATTAAATTTAATTGAAGTGGAATTTATATTTTTTTACTCGTACTACTTTATTTGATATAATAAATTAATTTTTTGACAGACATTTTTTGTCTTTACATTAACTTGAAATTCTATTTAATCCAAATCCTTTTAAAAGATATATTTTTAAAAATTCGGTTATTTTCAAGTTATTTTTATAATCTAAGCACATTTGTATATAATCTAGAAGTGGCAACTCAGGCTATACGTTCCACTTAACGCTCGCAACACTTGCAAACATTATTTGTCCTTGTTTAACATTTAATAAACAACAAAGGCGAAATGATTCCACGAGCGTTACGAGCGCATAAATGGAACGCATCCTTAGTACCTAATTCATTATAGGTCCGTATTTCTATATGAGATTTATCAAAGAGCAGAAAAATTGGCAGGGTCAATTACAACGAATTGCTTGTGCAATAATGTACCAATTTGGTGTATACAAAGCGATGCGGCGCGATTATACCGCAGATTGGTGCAACAATAACGAAAATGAGTTAATTAGCAACATTAATGCGGCATCGTCGACTCCAAATTGTTCGCTGGACAATAATTCGTCCATGATAATCGGGTTACGCGTGCTGGGTATCATAGTGATCATAGTGATCGCGAAGGGCGTCCGATATATCGCGTTACACATTTTAACTCGCATAAATTATTTCTGACTTTCAGCCCGCGTAAAATGTATTTCGTGTAAAATGTGTGAATATTATTTTTCTGGCTAATTACGAACATTTATTTCGAGTACACTTGAATTGTTTATGGAAAGCATACATTTAGAATAATATTTCACAGTATCTCATGCAAGTACGAAAATTTATATGTAAATGATATAAAATACGAGTTACATTTGTACAAAATTTGCATATAAAGCGTTGTACACAAAGACGGAGAATTTATTTAAGTATCTTTCATCTCGAAAAGACACTAGATTACTTGAGTTGATGCTCTTTTTGACAAGTACAATTTAACCAATTTACAGATACGACAGATAGTCAAATATCTTTTACGTCACTGGATAAAATACGGAAAAGTGCAAATGGCAGGGGAAGAGAAAAGCGGAGAAGAGGAAAATATATTTCTCTCTGATCCTCGAATTACCAAATTACACAACTCAAGCTCGGGTTCTCTTATCTTAAGACGAGACTTTCACGAGTGAGCTCCGTTTGAAACGTCATTTAAAGTTCTCCGTTACGAGAACGAGTCACAGCATGTGACCCGACCCTCGTGAAACACGCAGAATTTAAGGATCTGCAGATCCCGTAATCAGAAGCTACAAAGACATATTGAAATCCATTTTTAAATTTCGGATATATTTAAAAAATCGAAGATAAATTTTCGGGATGCAGGGAACACACAGGTGAAGTCGAGAACTCGAGCAAAAGCGCAAATAATCTATTGTAGGATCTGATAGATGACACATGATATGTGAGCAAGAGATCTACAAAATCAATCTTTTAAATTGTAAAAAATATTAAAAATAGAAAAAAGAAAACTTTTATTTTAGAAAAATGCAAATGATTTGTAACACTCTATATAAAATTAAAAATAAGTTTCTTCTGTAAATTGTCTAAAAAATCATTTAACTTCTTTCGGGGTATTTTAATGTTCTCTTGATTTAATTGTATCAAATATTTACAATTAATAATCAATTATTGTTTCAGGTGAGTTCCCCATATTGTCCCTTGTGCGAAATGAGTGCGTCAGCAGACGAGATTTCGGCTTTATAAGAGAGGCTTTGATCAGCGCAACGTGAGTAAGAAGGCAAACATTTGAGTAACATGAGATGAGGCTTCGGATTCGATAAACGCTTCATGGGGTCAGATCCATTAGCGTGACGCCGCTAAATTGCTGTAAACCGATATACTGGGGTACCCTAAACGTCACATTAATTAGCGCTAATTGACGATTAAGTACGGCATACCGGCGCGAAAATTCTCTTCAGACACTGACTTTGTTTTACCGATTGATAATGATTTCACATATGCACATATTTCCATTTCATAACCAATACATATTGTAAATATGTGACTCAAATAATTACAACTATTTTTCTGGAAATACAAATATTTAAGTCTCCAGAAATTTTCTTTAGTTATTTTACAAACACTGAAAAAAGTAATCTTGCAATTATAGCGAGAATTATTTAGGTATGAAAAATTAGCTAAAACGAATAAGTGATTAGTAAGCACTGCGATACCACATATGTTTTGTATTTAATCAATATAGATAATAGAGACAGAATTTATATCTGAACTATTTGTAAAATTTAGCAAGAAAGTTCCTTTATACCGTTTAATCAGTTCAGACTCCAATCCAGACTGCAATCATATTTGGTTATGAGATGTATATTTTCTTATATATGTTCTTGGAATATTGCTGCTATAAATTGCTATGTATGACAGACAATTTTTTACCAGATACAAAAAATAGAAATGTAATTTAAGTGTAATATTTAGAATTCTAATTGGTATAGCGAAACATTTCCCTGAGCGAAACTAATGCAATATATAAAGTAATAAAATTTTAAAATAACATTTCCTATATAAACTTCAACTAAAAAGTTACATTAATAAAAGAATTTTGCAAGAATATATATTTTGTGGAATATACAAACTTCCAATTTGTTGAAATATATTGTATTATACTGTATTATCGCTCACAGAGTGAGTATAGCTTACAGTTATTATAGCTGTATTTGTTCACCTACACATCTGTACAAGTGCAGTTACAGCAAATGACGAGAATGTATTTGCTTATAATTCATGGTCGAATAGGAAATGACGCTATCCATTTCCGGCGACCGTGACGTTTAATCCAATGACACAGGGGAAATCTAGAATTCGTTTCTCTTCGCTGTCAAGCCGTCTGGCAAGATGGTGTAATGAGAAATTCTGCAGAGTATAAGTAATCGTTTTCTCGCCTACCCCCCCCCCTGCCCCCCTTTCTCAATTTTTTAACCAAACCGCAGAAACCATTGTCTGTGTTAAGAAGCTACAATTTTTAACGTATACAAATTTTGTTTATTTGTTCATCGCTACTGAACATTGAAGGCTAGATTAAGAATGTTCAATTTATCGCTTCACAATATGAACTTAAAAATATTATTCAAAAATCTTACTGCTGCTGTCACATCTAAAATTCTTTATTACATATTTATGTATACTGTAATTCTACTAATTTCAAGCAGAATTATCCACAGCGTGAATTCAACAAATTCAAAAAGTTATTTTTTTTATACGCAATTTTCGTGACCGAGTAGAAGTATTTAATTCACGGTGCATCATGTATGACGCGATTCTTCGACGTCGCGACGCTGCGTCGCGTCCTTTTCAGGTAGGCATCATTAATGCCGCCCGGCATGAATAGAAAGTGTTACAAAAGCTTTCTTTTCGGCGGCTTTTAGAAGCGTCGCTCGTCAAGGGAAATAGCCGATGTGACAAATTAGCCGCTTTGAAACTCGCGCGTTCGAATTAACTTCACGTAGTTAGGATAGTTAGGGGCTTTACACGCTCGTGGATTTTGCACGTACACTAGCGCGTGTACTTTTACCGGGAATTACACATGGCGTTTGTGCAACGGATGTACACCGGTTCGTTTTTCCGACGTCAATTAGGCGAGATACAAACGCAAACAGAGCCTCGAGAACTATGGAAATTAATATACGCATTCAATTATTACAGATTGCGATAATTAGCACAGTAAAAGAACTATACACATAATTTAATAAAAATGATAATTAACAAAGTGCAGAAAGCACGGTACTCTCTGAATTTTTAAAATTTTTAGTTGGAAATTAATTAATAACCAAGTAAATAGAATTTCAGGAACTATATGTGTGTGGGTGTATGTAGATAAATGACTATTGCAATTGCTGTAATTAATTTCAAGAAGTTACGATAATTAATAGTAATCAATGGTAAATTAATATCAGTACAGAAACAGGAGGCGCAATATAATGATAATTTATAAAGGGACGTTAGAAGACGAAGTAGGACGTAAAAGGACATAATATTCAAGAATTTCACATTTTTTCTTAATTAAATCGAGATTTAATTAAAGGTTAAAGTACATCACAAAGAAAAGGGACGTCTCTCTCTCTCTTTTTTTTATATAAAATCCTCGTGAGAAGCACGTTTTCGCGGACGCGGCTGCAAGGCCTGGAACTCGAGCGACAGCGGGAAAGTAATAAACGGCGGGTAAACGCGATGATGCGACGAAATTTATTCATAAGCAAACTTTGGCCGTTGTCGTTCACGGCGGAAGGAACACTCGTAGATGGTTGGTCGAAACTTTCCCTCGCCGGGGCCGAAGTGCTTTTCAGAAACTTCTCTCCGCTACATCGCGCCGATATTTCGTCAAGAGCAACGTATCGATAAACGACACGAGAGCTCGCGTCCGAGGCCGCCCGTCCGCTATTTCCTGCCCTTTCTTTGACGCGATGTTTCGCGACATGATACACGACGTCCCCGGGAACTTGTACATCACGGTGCAAAGAATATATTCCCCCAGGAATTCGGGACAGAAGTCCACCCTCGGGAGAGTTAGCGAAAAGGGAAACGCTCCTTCTTTTTATATATTTGTGACATATATTCAGATTGTAATCAAATTTACATAGCACAATAGATTTTTATTAAAAAGGAAATATTATATATTAGTGTTTAAAAAGCAGTAGTTAAAAACTAAATTACATTATTCAAAAACTATACACACTCACTTTATTTCGTTATTCGTAAAAAGGGCAAGTTGAATGACATTAGTTGCTCTAGTACGTAGCTTCAGGGAATAAACTTGTAATTTTATCGATCGTCTCTTATCGAGTGAAGTTAGATGATCCGGGTCAAAGGTCTGCGCGAAGGCAACAAACGTGCCGAGGTTCACAACCGGAGAGAGAGAGAGAGAGAGAGAGAGAGAGAGAGAGAGG